ATTGCTTCAAGAACCATCTTCTTTGGTGATGCGAATTTTGATTCAACTTGGCTCGGAGAAAATTTTTCACTCCCAGCATGGTAGAGGACACCGCGTACAGTTGTTCAATCTTTGATCTCCTATGCCAACAGTGCCCTAATGACAGGAGTCGTATCCTCACCCCTCTATCTACGGAAAGAGTCGTAGTGCGTTCCGTTTCTAAACCGTCGATAGCACTAAAAGAAACTTTTATTTCGTCGCTCATAAATACTCCAGTCGATTACAACTTAAGCATAACCCACTGTCTCTTTAGTTCTACAATTTAGTTAATTACATTTTCTCTGATTCTGAAGTCTTCCTGAAGCAGCCCGACGAGCCAATATAGGAGATCTGTGTACTTAGACTTGTTTTCTTCTTTGTTGGAATGTACAGCACTGTAATTTTGTCGCGGAATATAGGCTCTCATTGAAGATAACAGGCCTCGCTTCCATTTAAAGCCGCTTCTTGATTGTTTGATCAGGTCAGATTAAATTAGGTGACGTTTTTTTTATTAATTCATTTTATTGTCCTGTCTGAGTCTATGACTAAGTAGGACATGCAGGTCCTCTCTGCCTACAGGCCAAAGATACCTATACCAGTAGTACATCTCCTCCTATGCCTCCCATACAGCTCCCCTCAAACAGTACCGCCCCTCATAAGTCCTCATTCGATCATACACTAAGAGGAGCCCTTAGCCCTTCATTATCTCCCCTCTCCAGCCAACAAAGCGATGGCCATTTGCGGGTGTATGGCAGCCGGGAAAAATCGCAAAAAACCACTGGGTGCGGAGCTCTCCTAATACCGACATTAGCACTAAATCCAAAGACATAATGATCCTTCCGGAGCCTTCGAAGAGGCCGGCCAGCTGGGCGCTGCGGACTTGTGGGTACCTCGGGAAATTCACACTCTGTCTTTCTAGCCTCCTTCCAACTCCTTCCCGAAGGTCGTGCTGAAATGTCAGAAAAGTCTTGACAGAGCGTGATTGCTGTGTGGTAGCTTAGCCCAACTTCTTTCGTGCCGTCCAAGGCGCTGGGGAGTGCCGTTGACTCATCGACAATAGAGGCCCTCCTGGCTAATTAGCCGAAATCGTAGTCTTGGCGCCCACAAAAAATCCAAAGTTGAAAACTCCTCGAAAATATCGGTCTCAGCATGCTCTTCAAAGAGCTACACCCCCTCTCGTTCCACATACCAGGCGCCTGTTCTTCCTCAAGTTGTTTGTCCCATTAGAGCAACAATCCCCCATAAGCCATGACCCAGGCTTTGTATTTGTCGACTTGATTTTCTCCTTGCGGGTATAAATAGCGTCGTAAATATGTAGTGAGAGATGGCTCGAGATTAATGGGGCAAGCTCCTGTATGCAAGTGGAGCAACTTCATTATTGGCCGTTGAGGCGAGATGATGCGTGGTTAGAGATGGGTTGAGGACACAGATGATAATGATGAGAGAGGCATTGTCGAGAAGTTGTCAAATGGAGATGTGTATGAGGTTGCTTTCGACTTCGATTCGGATGCAATTCTTCTTGGCTATCTCAGATATGCAGAGCATACTGAGCGATTACACCGGCACCACTGGAAGGTGAAGAATTCGTCTTTGCCGGCAATTAGATGACGTATGTCGGAGAATTGGATCCGATTGTGATGAGAAGTCCTTGAATATAGAAAAGGTCGTATCTAATTTAAACCTCGTCTTGAATGCGATTCTTCTCGACTATCTCAGCTAAACAAAGTATACTGAGCATATTTACTGGCACCGTTTGAAACCAAAGAGCATTTGCTAATAACCCTAGGTAGATTGGTAGAATGTTCTACATGAACAGATATATTTATGTGTACATGTATGTATATTTATTGATGTGCTAGGCAGTTGGCACCCTCCCCACTTATGTGGGGGCTGGACTAGATCAGGTCAACCACCATTAAAGTACATTATACGACTTTCTACTTGAATGACCGGGCCACCTCAGACTTCACCCATGCGTTGAACATATCAAGTCCAACCGTCTAGAAACCTGCCGTATATACGCCGCAGCGCAGATTACCCATCGGCCCCGGCTACCACGCGCCCGAGCCCTTGAAATCTTCATTAACTCCTAAATATAAATATCATCTCAGATCTCATAGTTGATCTAGCCTTGAACCTTGATATCGTACCTTTGGATCGTTGTCGCCATTGAGGATCTGAACTCCCGCGCAAAAATGCGATCCATTCAGTATCTATTCACTTTTTTTCCTCCTTTACACACATCGCATTTCCAACATGACTTTTCGCACTAGGGCATGTATAGGTAAGTGATGTGATAAGTATAGAGGTGGCTTACAGGTGTAGGACTGACTGAGAAATGCTTCGTCGCAAATAGTTAAGGGTTTAAGAGATTTCGGTTGTTTGTGTACAACCCCCAGACAGCCCTGGATCCATTCGTGAATCATATGTTGGTGGCGATGAGCCTATGTTCGACTTCCTTGTGGTGACCCAATCTCTGTCGAATGATTTTTCGACCAAAATACCGAGTACAACTCCTTTAAGCCGAAAATCCATCGAATAACATTCATCTCACCCTTATTCGTGGCTGAATCTCGGATCCGGGAAGGGGACTATTCTCAACACCTGTCAGTGGTGTCCCCTACGAACCTCCAGCTCTCATTATAGAGTCCGCAGAGCCAAGATTGAGTAACACCTTAACAACTTTGAGCTGAATTATCTCCCTCTCCGTCTAAGATAAGCTTCAGGTAACACATAAGACGACAAAGAAGACGATAATGATGCTGGGAATGAGAAAAGATAATGCGGTACCAAACGATACAACGGTAGTCAGAGAAGCCCTCGTTATATCATAACATGTGCAACTCACCGGCGGGCGAACAAAAAGCCCACGAAAGCAAAGTAAAAGACCCTTCCGCCCTCAAGAAAAGCAGATTTCGACTCGTCTGTAATATCGTACCCTCTAATCTATACCTCCGAATCTATTAGCCAGGAGGGCATCTGAAATACACGAGTTACCCGACGACCCCACGTCCGTAACGACTTTTGAATGCTAGGCTAGGTGTTACAAGCTGTAGCCTTGTATGTGGATCCGGAGCTATCCGGCTCCGTCTATGAACAAAAGCGCGCTAGTGCCACGGGAAAACGCGCTCGATTGGAACAAAACATCTTGCGCGCGCGTCATCAATATACGTCTCCTTAGATAAAATATAAATTCATTTTTGGACCCATAATTGTGAACAACAAATGTGAAGTCCCTTCACACTAGGCTCCTTAACGGCAGTCACTTTCGACCAAGACTTTTGTGACATCTTTTCACGACCTTCGGTTTGTCCTGCGGCATAAATTAAGGGAGTAGTAAGGAGAAGGCTAAGATTGTTGAGAGACGCTCTTAGGTATACACAGGTCTGCTGCGCCCGGCTGGCCGGCCTCTTCGTCATAGGAGAGCCCCGCATTTACTAGTTTTTGAAACTTTTCCCTGCAGCTACACACCCGTAAATGGCCATCGTTTCGTTGGCTGGAGAGGGGAGATAATGACGGGATAGCGGCTCCTCTTAGTATGTACTCGAATGAAGACCTGTGGGGGTATTACTGCTGGAAAGAAGTCGTGAGGGAGGCAAGGGAGGGAGTACACTACCCGAGGCATAGATACTTCCAGCCTGTAGGCAGAAAGGACCTACATGTCCTTACATAGTTATAGACTTTTAGGGCAATAAACACTCACTCACTCACTCGGATCCGGGAGAATATTTCACTCACAGGTTTGTAAAGGATACCACTGACTGTTGTTCAGCCTTCGTCCCCTTGACATTAATTGATGTTTTGTGTCCTGTAAATTTTTGTCTCACGCTTGCACAATCGACCGTGATTAGCCAACTAGTGTGTAACAGCATACGAGCGTGCGTTGATCATGTGGAAGCCAGATTAAGGAATCGCGTAGACTGTAACTGACCGAAGCTTCCCAGTTTGCCCTCGGCGTTAGTGAAATAATATGATTTTGCCCCAAATGCTCCACTAAATTCAGTCCTCAGGCCGAAATATATCAGGCTGTAGTGTTAGAAATTGCCATCAGATCAATCCTGAGACTTTTTACTAAGACATTTCCAGATGGCTGGATGGATTGCAGTAGTTTTGTATCAGTTCTAGCACACCGACGCATGGATAAAGTATTGGAGGCGATTAACATCTCTACTCGACTATCACGCACAAGACACCATATGCAACTTGTCCCACCACAACATACTTTTCATTTGTCCTTCTTCAACAGCGCCAATTGATGCCTCATCTTCGCAATTTATCCTCTATTTGTTCGTGATAATAGCTTTGTAATCCTCTACTTTCCTTCACGGCTCTAACTCGAGCTCTACCACGCGGCACTGAGCCAAGTCTTTCTGCAGATAGAAATACAGTTCTTCCGTCCGCTTATTTCGAAGACGGGGCTATGTGGCTGGAATATACTCGAAGAGAAGCAAAACGTCGCCACCGCTGGATCAACAAGAAACATTAGCATGTTCAACCACTCAATCTTGTCTGTTCAAAGGGCGTTTTACTAGCCATATATCAGGATGGAATTACTGTGGGAAGTCAACATGAAACTAACGGCTACTGCGTGCCTCTATCAAACTAGGCGCCGTTTGACTGATTTTGAGGAATCCTGGAACTTTCGCATTTCACATGATTCTCAGCGGATCATAGTTATTCTTCCTGACGATGATGGCGTAAAAAAGAGGTCTCACAGTCTGTTCATATCCTGCTTTATCCAGCTCTCTAAGAATCGGCCAGCCTAGAATGCACCCGCACGCCTGCATTAAAGTTTGTTGCACTTTTTATCATCAAATAAACAATCAATAGGCGTACAAGCCAGTTTTGAGTCATCTAACAGAGGAGGCGACCGATCCAACCTAAAATCACTTTAGTTGAATCTATAGTACCATAGACTGAGATTGTTGGTATTTATCCGGACGAGTTCCTCAGAAGTGGTCTTTGAACTAGTAAATCTCAATATGTCACGAGTAGCCTCATTAGACAAAAAAGCTGCTGATCCCATTGGTACTGGTATTATCTCTACTGCCAGGCAATCCTGGCTTGATTTATTCATTTGGCACCATCGAGTTACCACTGTCTTGGACGGCGAAAAGACAAAATGTGAATGGGTAGCACCTGAACCCCTCCAAAATCCAATAAATCTTTTTCGAAAACTTTCAGCGCGAGACTGGTTATTCTTTGTAGTAGGATTCTTGGCCTGGACTGCTGACGCCTTTGATTTTCACGCCTTATCCATCCAAACTACCAAATTATCTCGCTAGTAAGTTCATGAACTTTCCATTAAATAACGTCATAAGTTTCAACAGTTAACTTATCGGGGTTTCAGCTACCAAACAAGTAATACAGTCATCACAAGTACTATCACCCTCACTCTCCTCCTCCGCTCCCTTGGAGCTGCAATTTTTGGAATCTCTGGCGATAAAATTGGCCGTAAATGGCCAATGGTACTAAATATGATCATATTGGGCTTACTTCAAATTGCTACCATATATTGCGAAACTCTTGGTCAACTTCTGGGTGTGCGAAGTCTCTTCGGTCTATTCATGGGCGGTATATATGGGAATGCGACTGCGATGGCTTTAGAAAATTGTCCCATGGCGGCACGTGGTCTAATGTCTGGTATCTTGCAACAGGGTTATTCGTTTGGTTATGTGTTGGCTGCGTGCGCAAATCTAGGGGTAGGCGGGGCACCAGAGAGTTTTAAAAAGGTAAGAAATTTTCGGGATAATACACATCACTGTCTTTTGGATTGGGACCTAGCATTCTGCCGCCATTTCCAAAATCAATACCCGTTAACGTGACGTTAGGTCTTTTGGATAGGTGCCGGCTTTTGTATAGCTGTGGGCCTTATTCGAACCCTTTTCCCCGAATCTAAACAATTTCTCGTCGCCAAGGCAGCTGGTCACCGAAGTCTCAGCCCCAAGGAATTTTGGCGTCAAACACGGCATATGATGGCCACCGAGTATAAAATATGTCTTTATTGTATTCTTCTTATGACCTGGTTTAACTTCTACTCACACTCCTCGCAAGACTCCTACACAACTTTTATGGAAAAGTCCAAAGGCTTGATTAATTCCGCCGCTAGTAGGGCCTCTATCTGGATGAAGGTAGGTGCCTGCGTCGGGGGCACGATTATGGGATATATTTCTCAATTCTTTGGCCGCCGTCGGACCATGATTGCTGCCTCACTGATATCAACTCTTATGATTCCCGGGTGGATTTTGCCCCATTCTGAGCAGGTGCTTAGCTTCACAGGATTTATCATGCAGTTTTTCGTGCAGGGCGCTTGGGGTGTAATTCCCATTTACCTCAATGAGCTAGCACCAGCAGCTTACCGCTCGACATTTAGTGGCATAACCTACCAGGTTGGCAATATGATATCATCTCCGAGCACTCAGATTGTCAATGCCCTCGCTGAACACTTTACGGTCGATGATACAGGCGGCACTCAAGTACCGGCATATGGACCGGTTATGGGTGTGGCTACCGCCTTTATCGCTCTCGGTATCGCCGGAACTCTCGCGATTGGTCCTGAGCGCATGGGTCGAAGTTTTGAAGAAGACGATTCACTTTTGACTATCGCAACTGTCGAGAAAAAAGCTATTGGCAGTCCTGAACCGGGTGTCGTCTGAGGCTAACTTTCCCATTGTAATGCCATGAGCTATAATGATTCACACAAGATAAAATAGGGCGCGGGCGCAAATGATTTAATGACAGGGATCGTGGGTCGCATCTAATCTCTTCATACAACAGTTTTACAGAACGGAAAATAATTCAATTACATTGGCAGGTGATCAAGATTTAATGCGGAAATTGAATTAAAATATAGTTTAAGACTACAAATTTGATATCATTGTACATAAGTTCTTATCGTCGTGGGAGCTATTTAATTTAATCCATAATTAATCAATACAGTAACAAAAACAAATTTACCTTGTTCAGTAAACTTAAGCTCTCCTACCATGCGAAACTCCCCTAATTGCCCCTTCTTCATCCTTTACTCCCTTTTTACATGAACCGCTGCCACATAAGAGTACTGATCTGTTGAGCTTTGTGACTCGGGTATCATGAACACTCCCATTTTGCGGATAAGAGATCGGAGTGAGTTCTGACCTTTAAAATGTCACAAAATTATCCAGACTTTTCATGTTGCGTCGATACGCGTTGAAGAGAAACAACTATGATGTGTTAATTACCTATAAAAATTGAGGAAAAAGTTAGAGTAGCTTACCGAAGTCTTCGAGAGAACGTTGCTTTGGATTCTTCTTGATTGATTTACCGTGCATGAGATTGTCAAAGCCTGCGCTATCTTGGAGAAGATAATAGACTCCCCCCATGATACAAAAGACGCCAAAAGAGAAAATCCAGATACGAACAACAGCTACAATCGAAGTCTGACCACCGACAAACCAGCCAAACAGTGTGAAAAGAGTCGCCACAATATCAACTGTCAAGATAGCCCCGGCAAGTTGCCATGATGGGAGGGATGACCAGAATGGCCCGTTGGCACGTGTAATGAAGATCAACCAATTTTCTGTGAGAGATATTTCCAAAAATACTACAGGGTCAATGACACCGAAGTTTTGGACAATTCCCCCATTGGGACCGCGAACAATCATGGTGGTCAATGTAATCCAGGTCCCGATAGCGAGTACGATACCCAGAAGCACTGACATTCCCCAAAGTTTTGGGAGATTCCATTTGACAGGAGTTTTTGAGAATGGTGCATTGTCGTAGGCAATAGCCAGCGTTGCAACATCTGCAAATATGGCAATAAAAACAACTAGTTCTATGTTTAGAGAGCGATTTAATATCGCTATCCATAGACCTAGGAATATCTCCAAATGAAGCGAAAGTGCGATACGATATACCACGTAGGCATACATACGATGGAAAATTTGGCGGGATGTCTTAAGGGCATCAATAATAGCGCCAAGGCCTGGAGCCAAGAAAACAATATCAGCAGCTGAGCGAGCAGCGTCAGAGGCTCCTTCAACGGCAATTCCAGTATCAGCTCGTTTAAGGGAAGGGGCGTCATTGACTCCATCACCAGTCATCGCAACAAGGTATCCACGCTGTTGAAGAATCTCAACGACATTGTATTTGTGTTGGGGGAAAACTTCGGCGAAACCATCGGCAGCTTCGACAAAATCGTTAACTTCTGAGCCAGGCATATCGCCACCACCCCCCAAACCGAGGCGCTCAGCATTGTAAATATTGGTGCCAAGTCCAAGTTGGCGAGATGTTTCGCGAGCTATACCGACAGCATCACCTGTTAACATTTTGATGGAAAGACCTAATGTCTTGGCTTCGTTTATCGTACGAGCAGTGTCATGACGAGGAGGATCGGAACAGGGCATAATACCAAGTATTTCCCAAGGACCATCACCTCGCTTGCGTGCGACACCAAGCGAGCGGAAGCCACGCATTGCAAATTCAGCCACTTTATTCTTGTAAGCTGTATCAATTTCTTCTGGAACAGGGCAGTCTTCTTCAACTTTTTGCAAGACGAATAGGGGAGCTCCCTTAACACAAACAATGCGCTCACCCTCTGGGGACTCCACTAAGGCTTGAACCTTCTTGGAGACAGGATCGAACGGATGAAACTCTAAGACTTTGAACTTAGTTAATACTGATCTAGCGCGTGGATAGAACCGAAGAGCTTTTAAGAAAGCTTTATCAATAGCGTCGATGCCCTTTTTCTTGCGAGATGCGGCTAAGCATGCGGTTAACATGAGATCATCAGGCTCGACTCCAGGCACTGTGTAAGGATCGGCAAGTGAGAGCTTGTTCTTAGTGAGTGTGCCAGTCTTGTCTGAGCAGAGAATTTCGACACCAGCTAATGACTCAATGGCCGAGAGCTTTTGTACAATGGCTTTCTTTTTGGCTAGGTATGCTGCTCCAACGGCCATAGTGGTAGTAACAACAGCCGGAAGCCCAACTGGTACACCAATAATTGTTATGGCTAGAGTGTACTCGAGGATAACGACGATGTCATTGGATCGATAGAATGATGAGATCCAGACGACTAATAGGGTGAAAATAACCAGGATCAATAGAACTGTCCCAATTCCGTTTAAGACTTCGGTAAAATGGCCGGTTCCACTTGAAGCTTGATTCACAAGGGCTGCAGCACGACCAACAAATGTGCTGTCCCCAGTCGCTGTAATAATCATAAAAGCCTCACCACGGCGAACGCCGGATGATGCGTAGCAGGAGTCACCAATGTGTTTATCAACCGCTAAAGATTCACCCGTTATGGCGGACTGATCTACTTGTAAGAAAGCATTATCGGTTACAATTCGGCCGTCAGCTGGAATAATCGTGCCCTTTAAGTGTTTCTTAGTTTACGTAGGTTTCGTTATATGGTTGTTTGGTTGACTCACCTCTTCAACCTGGAGAATATCTCCGGGAACAACTTCAGATGCCTCGACTTCATATAATTGACCATCTCTTAGTACAAGGGCTTTGAGTGCAAGCGTCTTTTTTAATTCTTCGACGATGGAGCCAGCCTGGAACTCTTGTATAAAGCCAACAGCAGCGTTAAGAAGAAGCAAGGCACAAATGACACCGAAATCTACCCAGTCCTGTAGTCCAGCGGCGAGGACAGCAGCTGCCTAGAGGGATTAGGTGTTAGCCTCCCTGAGTAAATTATAACAAGGAGGAAATATGAAAATCATTTGTTGGATAATGAGAGTTTTGATGTTCATACCTCCATAACGAATTGGATCGGGCCAATAAAGTAGCCAAAAAATTTTATTATAAGATTCTCTTTTTCCTCTTTCATCTGATTGAGTCCATACTTTTTGCGTCGAACAAGAACTTGAGACTCTGTTAAGCCGGCGCGACTGTCTGTTTGTAATTGATCTTCAGGCACAACGCGTCCACCACCGGACGTGTCGTCGACCTCTTCCTCGTCTTCTTCAGCAATTCCATCTTCTAATTCGAGTTCGTCGATGAGAGCATTCATGTCTTCCTCATCGTCATCTGCAGGTGCGCGAGCAAGGGTATCTGCATATACGTCTGCAGGTATGAGTGGAGGTTTTAGCGGAGGCAGAGATTGGTTGGTTAGAAGGGTGGTAACTTTTTCATTGGACTCATCCGAATGTAAGCTTTGCGAGCCATTAGATTCTTGAGTATTCATTATGTTAGTTTCTGCTTTAGGTATTGTGAACATCGGCATGCAGGGACGCGCAGAGTGATACCGCTGGTCAACCGGTGTAAGAATGGAGAGGTGTTGTGCGAAGGATGAATGGTAAGAAGCGTGTAGGGGAATGAGATTATTTATAGCTTCCTCCGTGTGACTAGCAGAGGTTATTGACTTAGGTTGATACCAATTACAATGATGATGAAAATGGAGGAGAATTTTGAATTAGGAATGAGGAGTAGGACATAACCCGGAGTATGGGTCAATAGAGAAATGTGATAGTAAGTCAATACACAAAAATCGAGGACTTTGCCAAGATTTTCTGGGGTTAGCTCAATGCCAAGCACAAGGCTTCTTATCATTCCAAACTGATATTAGCCGCCTGAAAGACCTGATAGGTTAGACTACGTTCTAGTGGAGAGGAAAAAATGGATGGATTAATTGAATTGAGAGGCCCAGACTCCACATGTTAGGCGATGGCAGATAGTTATGGAGAGGAGCTATTGGAAGAGGGGCGAATAAGTTCTAATTTTTTCGTGTTCAATAAAGCGTGTAGCCAAGAGTACATGGAAGCAGCTCTTGACCAGTCTGTGGCCCAAGCTCCAAAAACGATTGTGCATGGAGGGATGGGAAGCAATATAGCATGTGGTCGATCTCACCCAGCGCTGTCGGCTCCCCGACTAAAGCATCGGAAAATGCGGGGCGCCAGGGTTAGCCCAGTTAAGGCTTATGAGTACTCCTATTTGCAGGGGAAACATCATCAAGCTGTTTTATCGGCAACAATTCTATCGCGTACAGAATTCATGAAATCTGCCATCGGATTGGGGCTATTTTCGCTCATGGTATAATCAAGAGCTTCACAATGGGGCACATACAGTCTTCTAATCTGATGGTGTGTCAAGCGATCCGAAAAGGGCACGCCAACGACTAGGTGCCACCAGACGCTATGATGAAACATTCACGACATCTTCCTCGCCCACTCATAACGAGCGGAAGAGTGGAAGAAAATTCATGAGTTTTGATTTGCAAACCTCTACTAGTCTCAAAATGGGCCGTAGCCCTGAATTACACAGGCATGCGACAATAGAGTCAAGCAGATGTAGCTCGTAGTCTCGTAAGCGTGGCGAGAGTAAGGTGGGCAGACATGTACCAAATGAAGTTTTGCTAATTGCCGTGCTATGAGCTTCAAGCACTCCCTGGGCCTCTGGTAGTCGCCCATTGCTGAAGCTTTTCCCACTTCGAATTCATCAGCAGTAGCCGCACAATAGTTAATGAGCGCCTCAGGGTGTTTATTTCATTCCTCGCTCCACTTAGATCCCCGTTGAATTTAATTTGAAAAATTGATGAGAAAAACTAGAATTACTGATATTCCTATTGTGACAATGTGTAGCTTGTGGTTGGACGATGTAGGCCGATTCAACACACGGTGAGTTTCGACTAAGCTTTCAGTCCGGTACATTTGAGCCCGTCGGTTTCGATATGAGTTGCTCATATAAGTTTTGCTCAAAATCCTAGGTTCCTTGCAGAGGCTGCAAAGAGCAATTTTTACGGGGCAACGGATCCGTCATTATCCAGTTAGATCAATGAACTCACTCCACATTAACATACGAGTAATCCATGGCGGACTCTAGAATTTCAACCCAGTGATGGCTTTCGGCTATCTCACACCGATCTTACACCCTACATGCAGAGGGTTCCCACTGTATTTCTATAACAGGTTAGAAGAACCACTTTTGAAGCTAGTTCATTCAATTGAAGGGCGTGGCACGTTAGGACAGTGGAGTTTAGGAGCGTTTACTGGGATTGACAACGTGGTCGTGAATAAAACAGGCGCATTTCCAGGCCCATGTCAAACAAGGCGATCGCCAAATATTTGTTTACTTGCGCGTCATTTCCCAACGGTGATCAATCGCACCACCCGCGACGTTTGCGGGAGCTACGTCGTCTCTTTCACCAAGATAAGCTCAATATTACGCTCCCTGTATTCCCCCCTAATTTTCCATCAGCTCAAATCATGACGCTCGATGTTGTGATCTGGCAAGCTTTAGATTGTGCGCATGTCAGCTCGGTTGCCACCCTCCAATTCAAAAAATGGATCAGGCCTTTGTTGCCTAGACAACATAAATATTACCTTATGCACTGTCCTGTAATCATAATCTCAGGAGGGTCAAAAATTAGATTAGATAAGATCAGATTTTAATTATAGTCTCTAATGAGTCCAAGAGGAGGGCAAGACTGAACACCTGTACGCGGTGTCCTCTACGAACCTGGGAGTGAAATATTCTCCCAGAGCCAAGTTCAGTCAAACTTCGCAATACCGAACAAGTTGGCCCACGAGGCAATGATTCAAATTACTCCACCATATCAATCTTTCACTCCCAACGAAATCGATTCCTACCTAAACCTCATCAAGTTTACAAGTACGACCTAGTACATCCTAATCCCAATGACCACACCTCTTTTCGACTTTCTCTGGCCTTAGCTGGTCGCCAGATACACGCCCACGCCGATATTTACACCCGACGGAGGAAGCAAAGCGTGGCGCACAAATCTGGAAGACAATTCCTTGGGATGGATGTGAGAGGGATCAGGACAAGTTAATAAGATGATGCAGAGGATTGGATACAGTCTCGACGGGCGTGGAATTTTGAAATCTGGAAAGGAGTTTTTACAAATTGAGCTTTGTGCGTACCAAGTCTTCGGCTGCGAGAGTGCAGGCGACACTATAAAAACTGCCATGGTTGGATGGTGCGGTGGTACATCATCTTGGCCGGTCTGCCAAGTAGAGTCTGGATAGCTTGGACACATATCCCACTTGAGACAGTAGATCGCTGGTTCGAATCCGGCAAAACACAACCACATTTCTCGCGGCGCTGGTATGCATGGATGACGAAGGCATGCTTGGATAACTAAAGGTTTTTAAATTCCCTTTGGTGGGTACTAACGGAGGAGGGTCGACTGTTTGTGTAAGCAAACATACCTCATAGTGGTATTTGCAAATGAAATCCAGAGTATGAGTGTCTCTAATGTCAAAAGAGTCATCCAATATGTATACATAGCACCGGTCATGTGTCATAGCTAGATAGCTGAATACACATTAAATGATTCAAAAAAAAAAAAAAAAAAAAAAAATGAGTCCAAGACTATGAAAGACTGCTGGAAGCTGTAGGACCAACTTTTGATATCCTGTTAGTATGTCCGTAAATCTTGTTGTATTACCTGGAAGTGTCATATTTATACAGCCATTATCTGATAGCAGACCATCAGCTTGAAACAGTATGTGAACAATTTTATGTTGCCTCTAAACGGGACTCTGCTAGATGGTAAATCTTGAGCTGTTACTAGATGTTGGCTCCCAAAATATACCAGCATTCCAAAATCAAGAAAAAAGTGGTCCGCATTTATTATGTTAGGCCTGAGTGGGGCGAGTGAGAATGGGTCCCCAGAAACTGACATATCCTTGACAACTTCAGATCGGACTAGCGAGATAGGAGACGGCAATGCGGCTATCGTCCGTCGGACTATGCATCAAGGCATCAATCGCCCGTACCAGATCCCTGGACGAGCTCTAGCACCACGCTGTGTGTTCAGGTCACGGGACACTGCGCTGAGAATGTTCTTGGGAATCACATTATGTAATTATGTATTAGCATGCCCGTAACATTAGGAGTTTCCTGTTCGGATTAGCAAGAACAAAACAAATAGCTTACACCTGACTAAACGAACTCTGTAGGCATTTTGTGATTAATGATTACAGGCATGCTTTGAGTCGACAGTTTATCGTGGGCCATTTCATAACCCGTACACACAAACACACAACGTCAAGCAAATGAATGATTAGTAAGAATCGTGACAATGGGGGCTTGAACGAAGAAAATTACATCTTCCGACCTCGTACAAACAAGCATCTGGATCTAAACTGGTCCCAGTAACAGCTTTTTTCTTTAGCTCGGTCAATCCAAGGTTGCATCGGATAAACTTTGCGTGATACTTGTCCCAGACCTGCGCTCATGTATTCTACTTCACGCAAAGTCTTCTGTTTAAACTCATATTTATTGTTCACATACTTATCTCTTCTCTAAAGAAGACCGCCGTCATTGTACCGACCTCACCTATTGTTATGACACGCAGAATATGGCAAGCAAGAACTCAAGGTTTAAAAGGTAATAAAGCTAAAGAGCAGAACTATGTCTACGAATTACATATATCCAAGTGTGTGAGATTAAGCGAATAGTAATTTATATGTCATCAGTGCTTCCATAACGCCAGACCCCGTAGATATCTTAATCCAACTCCTAGTCTGTTTACCATATCCCTAGCTACTTAACACCTATTACTCACTTTACCTTTACTTCTACCGTGAACCCTTGGGTGACTATTCTCAACACTTATCAGTGGTGTCCCCTAAGAACCTCCAGATCTCACTGTAGAGTCTACAGAGCAGAGATTGAGTAACAAAGCCCTCACTTCGACGAGGGTTCCAAATCGCTTTCGCGGTCTGTATCGTCTTCATCCCTCAACACAACCTCCCTATCACCATTATCATGAAGCCAACCACGATCAGATCAGATGGTCGGGTCGGAGCCCTACTCGTCAGCAACCCTTGATCACGGAGGAAAAGCCATCCGATGAGTTTCCGGAGCGTACCCAGCATCCGATACGGAGATGGTTGATTGGATCAAGTCGGCCTCGACTGTTACAAAGAAAGGAGACATAGATGAATATGCGCACTTCATGTGGTCCCGGTGTCTAGGCCTCGCCTGGCTGGGGCTGCAGGTTTTTTGAGACTTTTTCCCGCGCACGCAGTTTCCATTGCTACCATTTTTATTTTTTTTGGGTAGAAGGTTCCGTGGAAAAGGTGGCTGAATTCCACGGGTAAATACTGAGCTGAATGGCTATTCGTCAAGGGGAATCTATCAATGATCTTTCAAGTAACAAAAGAGGATAGGAGCACTGTACAAGGTGTGGCCTGGGTCAGAGAGGAGCCCAATGTGCTA